AAAAAAAACAACAAAATGAAAGAAAAAAAAAGTAAAAATAAAAAAACAAATTAAATAAAAACTAAACAAAAAAGAAAAAAAAGGATAAAAAGATTTAAAAAGTCCGGAGGGAGGGATTTAAAAAAAAATATAATAAAATATAAATAAAGAAAAAATAAAAAAGTCCGTAGGTGAATAAAAAGATTAAAAAAAAATAAAAAGTCCGGGGGATTTAAAAAAAAATATAAATAAAATATAAATAAAGAAAAAAAAAAATATATATATATATACTGGGAAGGAATTTAAAAAAAAATACAAAAATGCACATCGTACCCTTCATTTGAAATTAATGGGATGATAGGTATGAATAAAAAATTTACTTTTTTATTTTATATAATTTTTACTGATCAAGATTATACCATTTTGACTTTGATTCGAATCATTCAACAAGAGCAAATGGTAGTTGGTCAAAGATATAATGTTAATACCATTACGCGTGTTGCTGAACCAATAACACGATTAAAAAAAGCATTAACTACTTCATCTAATAAAGAAGCCAAAGAGCCATTAAGAAAGATTTTAAGTACCAGGTTGAGTATGTTGATAGCCTAATCTTATTAATATATATTGATTTTATATTATTCATTTTTTCTTTCTTATATAGATTACGGACAGGTGCTGACTGAACATGCGATTCGTTTTGTTCAATTCATCCTAATATGAAAGTTAGAACAATAGTCATTTCTTATGGTGGATCTTTATTAACTCTATTTTTATATTATCTTTTATATTACCTTTATATTATATGTTAATGAAAATTAAAAATTTAGATTCAGAGCATTTTATTCATTAGAAGCAAGATTTTAAGATGCAGACCGTATTTTAAGAAAGTGCAAAAATTAAGCATAGATATAATCTTTTATATTCTTTAATACCTATCAGGGATATATAATCATATTCCACCATTCGGAACATTCTTCTACAGCAAGTGAAATTTCACAAGATAATGGGATACGTAAGTTATTTCTTGAGCTAATCCTGCCATTTATTATTTAAATGTTCTAAATTATTTAACTTTACATAAAGCTATGATGAATTCTAAACCTTTCTTTTTTGTTTAGTTTTTATTTAATTTGTTTTTTTATTTTTACTTTTTTTTTCTTTCATTTTGTTGTTTTTTTTAAGTTTTTTTCTATTTTCTTTTTTTTTTTATTTTTGTTTATTTTTTTTTTTTTTTTTTGTTTAGTTCCGTTTAGTTTCCTTTTTTTTTATTCTTCTTTTATTTTTATTTTATTTTATAATTTTTTCTTTTAGTTTTTTTCGTTCATTTATTTTTTCGTTCATTTATTTTTTTCTTTTTTTAGTTTTTTCTTATTAATTTTTATTTTTATTTCATTTCTATACTTTCGTTTTCATTTTATTTATTTGATTTTTTCATTTTTTCTTTGCAATTCGTTTCTTTTTACTTTTTTTATTTTAGATTTTTTTTTTCTTTTTCGTTTTTTTCAAAAAAAATGAAAATAAGTAATAAATAAAAATAAATTTTACAAAATTTCATTGCGTACCGTACCGTACTGGTCCTATAATAGGGCTTAGTTTTTATAGGACCAGTACGGTACGATATCAAATTTCACAAAATTACTGATCTGCATATTCTGGCGAATCGTACCGTAACGGTTTTCTATCTACCCTCTGCATATTCGTACGTACTGGTCTGGCGAATCGTACCGTACTGGTTTTCCATATACTCCATATATATTAAATGTAAGCAAAATGAAAGGGAGTGACTGAATATTTCGAACAGCGTTGAAAGAAAACTAATATAGGAATATGCTAGGAAAATCGCCGTGTATGTTGCAAGTTGGGTTGATAAAAAGGAAGAAAAGCATACTGTTTATGGATTCACACCTTAAAATACCTTTCTTTAATCCATGAATTAATTATTGTTACGTGGTAGCCGGTATGGATTTGACTCGGAGACTTTAACAAACTCTGTAATACAAACCAAAAACCATAACGAAAAGACCAATGAAATTCTCGGAGGATATAATCCTATCATATGGGAATCAAACTAATGCTCATTTAATGGTCGGGTCGGGTTTGAAGAAGCTTATTCGAACTCGAGCCCTTTATAATTACAGAACCCGAATTCGACCATTGTTCGACTCGGATTTTACTCGGATCATTATTGGTAACCTCGAATTATCAAGGTAATATTAATTCCGAAAATAAAATATATAAAAATAAGCATTTATTTTTTTTACATCTTTTTCCACCAAATTTTCAAACACATACAGGCGCGATTGTATTAGCTTTAAGATCACATCCTTCGGTTGATATTAGAATGGTTCCGCCAGAAATTTATTAAAAAATGTTTAATAATCGATAATTTTTTTTTATGCCTGTAATTACAAGATAATCTCTAGCCATTATGGCTAAATGTTGATATTCGGTTTCATATAAATATATAATTTAATTGAATTAATAAATTAAATAAATAAATAAACATATCATTCTATATCAGTAATTAATAGCTGGTATAGTCGGTGTTATAAATATTTAAAACTATATATTTAGCATAACGAATATAGCTTTTCCTCCATATTTTATCTTCATATAACCAAGCTTTAACCAAGTACTATATATTCTATTTTTAATATTACTTAAAAAAAGTTTATCATGTCGAATTCGCGTAACGTAAAACGAAAAAAAAATCCGGTCATCCAGGGGCCATCCGGGCATAATTTAATTTGTGCAACTGCAATGTTCGGATAATTCCTTTTATATCCTTATAAAAACTACAGAAAAAATTTTTTTTAAAAAAAAAAATGGATGTAAATAACCATGAAGATGAAACTCAAGTCAATAAGAATTGTTCCTACTGCGATAAACCATTTGTGGAGAAATTATGGTGTAAAAAATGTGACCCTTGTTGTATTATTGAAGGATGGACTAGTGGAAATTCTGAAATTGATAAATTCATCAAAGATACAATGTATCGTGCAAGTTATGGAAGATTTCTTGAATGGGTGCCTTTTGATAGATTCACAGATATAAAAGAAATTGGAGAAGGAGGATTTGCCAAAGTGTATTCTGCAAACTGGAATGATGGTAAATTATATTTTATAAAGCAAGATGATGGGAGTTGGAAAAAATCGGATTCGGAACCTATGAAGATTGCTTTGAAAAGGTTAAATGGATCATGGGATATGTCAGCCAAATATTATAATGAGGTATTTTACATTTATAATTTAATATTTATCAATTAAGTATATTTCTAATTTGCTTAAATTTTTATTAAAAAAAACTAGCTTAAAACACATTGGGATTTCTGTAAAGTAGATCTTGGTGGACGGTCATTAGAATTTTATGGAATAACTAAAGATCCAGAAACCAAAGATTTTATCATGATCGTACAATTTGCACCTGATGGAAATTTGAGAAGTTATCTTTTAAATAATTTTAACAATATTTTATGGGAATATAAAATTACCAAATTATTTCAAATAATTTATAATCTTTATCGTTTACATGAGTTAAGATATTGTCATAAGGATTTTCATAGTGGAAATATATTGCAAAATGGAGAATAATCTTATATTTCAGATTTTGGATTATCAGGACCAGCAGATAAGCAAAATTCGGATGATAAAATATATGGAGTATTACCATATATCGCTCCAGAAGTTATGAATGGAGGATTATATACTTTAGCTTCTGATATCTACAGTTTTGGTGTAATTATGGCTGAGTTATCAACTGGAAATCCTCCATTTTATAATAGAAAACATGATTATAAATTATCCTTAGATGTTTGTAATGGATTGCGTCCAGAGTTTGGAAAAGGAACCCCTGAATTTTATAAGAAATTAGCTTATAGATGTATGAATGCAAATCCAAATCAAAGACCAAAGAGCGATGAGTTGTATAATATTTTGATATTTTGGAATTTTTCTATTATTAATTATGAGAGGTATAAATATTTCGAAGAATATGGAAAAGAAATAAAGGAAGCATTCGAAGAGGCAGATAAAGAGATACCAAATATATCAATTTTATGTAAAGCAAATCCTGATGCAGTATATAAAAGTAGAGCATTTACATTTAAAAATTTGACAAAACCTATTAATTCGTCTCTTATCACCTCATATCTTGATAAGGATGAGATTAATGAAGGTAATATAACACTTAGATTTTATTTTCGATAACTAAATACTAATTTTAATGCATTTTAACAGATACTCAAATAATTGATTTAGAAATTTCTAGCTCATTACAATTAAGAGGTAATAGTAAATTATTAATATCTACGATTAAAATATAAATATGAACTAATATTAATTTATATATAATGATAGACGTAAATCTTTGAGTTATTTTGTATAATTTATTTTAAAGTAGGCTTATTATATACCAAAATGTTCATAATGATATTATTAAAACAAACGATAACTTATAATAACGATAACAAATCTTGTAGTAATTAGTTTTATGTAATTTTAACTATTTTGTGTATTAGCTTTCAGAATTTCTCAAGTTATAGTGAAGAAAATTATCTAGCATTTTTATATTATTAATAAATTTTAAATATGAGTAAGCAATATTTAACCATGAACTTGCGATACAATTCGAAGAGAGTTTTCTTTAATCAAAATTTTCATACCATAACTACATAAAGCTAACTTCCAATAACGTTATTTTTTATTTTAAACTCGTTTATATGAATTGTCTTTTTGTCTGGGAAAAGAAAGACATTTACAACGTTTGCAAAAAAAAATTTTATCTTATTATCAGCTATTTTAATATTAAAATTAGCCAATCCTCCCTTTGTATTAACGATAAAAGATGTCTAGTTTTATAGTAATTTCTAATGAATAAATACTTGTTATTCCATACGTAGAGAATGATAAACAGGTTATTCACGAGTTATATATATACATCACATGCGCGTAAGCGCATGTTATTATCATATTAACTCTAACGAACACGGCGTCGCCCGTAAAAAATGGTAGCCGGATTTTATTTTCCGGGTATTTATTATTAGGGTTTGGATTAGGATTAGGATTGGGTAGAATTAGGATTAGTTTAAGGGGGCTAGCAAATTTGTCACAGCGCGTCACATTCCAGCCGTTCTTCAATTTACTAAGTATTCTGGGGACAGAAATTATTTTGAAAGAAAAATACCAATTGTCACAATTATATGTCACCCCGGCAAATAAAATCCGGCTACCATTTTTACGGGCGACGCTAGGGCTGTTTATTAACTCTGAATAACCTAAGTAATCCGTAACGAAGTATGGAATAACAGGCTTATCTCATTGTGCATGACGTATACACCGATGGATTTTTTGTCTATATACATTTTCTTTTTTTCCTGAAGATATTTTTTTTAGGTTTATTACATGTCTAAAAAGTTAAATGGCGTAAATTACGAAACGGATCTGTGCATAACTATTATAAATGACGAGTCAATTAAACCTTGCAAAAATGTAACATATACAAATAAAAAAGGGAATTTATTGATACAATATTTATATTTATGTTCTACAGTTTAATTTATATTACAAGGTAAGGAACGACAAGCATTTCTAATTCTACGCGCGAAAAAAATAGAAAGTCCAAATTGAATATACATGTACAAAACATCATAATGTTCAATTCCAAACACTGTTAAAGATGTACATTTTCACATATTCATTACTAGTAAGTTGAATATTATAAATTTAAATACAAACATGTATTTTCTTAATTGTTGTACTAATAAAAATATATTATAACCAGTGGAGTAATTGATAAAAAATACTGATGGGATAAATTCTAGTTATATTCTAGTTATAAGATATATAGAAATTATGAAATATGAGATTGATAGCCGCCTGAAGAAAGAAATAGGAGATGTGATAAATAATTCCTCTAGGTTATTTTTATTATACTATCTCAACTTGAATTTAATTATACTATTGTTTTAAAGTTTTGAAGTTTCGATTTTGGAATTACTTAAGTTTTTAAGAAATAAAAAATAGTTAAAATAGTTTTATTAAATTTTGTTTCATTAATTACAGAAAACAACATCATTAATATTATTTATACTTTAAATTTTTAAATATAAAATATGTTTATTTTTTAAAAAAACAAATTTAAACTTATAATAATTATATAATGATATTCAAATAAATAAATTAAGTTAAAAAAAAACAAATCTATATTAAGTAACTATAAACTATATAGAAACGTTGTCAGTAAAATCAAATTGTGACATATATGATTTGTAATGAGATTTTACTGGCAACGCTCCCATATAGTATTTTATGTTTTAAATTAAAAATATTTTATTTATTTAAATAACACTTGAAACTTTAATATTTCTAAAGATTATCGTTATTGGTTTTAAAACTAGTAAAATCAAATCAACTAAGACCTCCTTCAATGATTTATTGTATGATTAGATTGGCTAAAAATCAAAAATAATAGAGCATTTAAATCAAAAAAACCTGGAGCTAATAACCATCTTTTTTTTTTCACAGAATTGCGCTGCTTGAGAGATGGCTTTTTTATTTTATGTTGATTTTAATTTGCCGCTAGTCTGACTAGTCGACCACCGTGTGATTTTATTAACAGATGGTTTTAACTCAAAATTGACATAAATAAGGTATAAACATTATTAGTTATACAAAGGGAGATAAACAAAATCCTATACACATATAAAATGTAAATTCTTTGTTACATTTACCAAATTTCAGGACAAAGCTCCCTTTGTTCGAGGTAAGGAATAAAATTAAAATCTCATCCGATTTATCAGCTAACTTAAATCGTTTAATATTAAGCATAATGCAACAATCCAACTTTAATTATGAATTAATTTTTTTTACGTATGAATTAAACATAAAATGACATAATTATAAGGAGTTTGTGCTTTTCTCACTCAAGCAGAATGAAGTTAAAACTCGCTTGTATAAAAATTAATTTCTCATAATATTTTATAGAAGATTTCTGGAAAAAGAAACCTCTCAATCTTTTTTTTTTTTTATTAGTTATTTATTGGTCAAAGCTGTACTTCCATTGGAACAATCTCCGAATTTCCGAACAGTCTTCATACGTTGGAATAAGTACTTACGTCGTGTTATTCTGTAAACAATTCTAACGTTAATGCATATTCGCGTTTAAAGTTAGCAATTCAAAGTTAATTTGCACGTATCGACTATTTATTATTTTTATTCATCATCTCCTGTCTTTTCGTTCCTTCATTTGATTAATAAACCTTGAAAAATATATTTGCAAGTAACCGATTTGAAAGTTCCAATGATTTTATGGTGAACAAAGATGACTGTAGAAGAAAACTTGGATTAAAAATATTTTTAATTACCTCACTTTCAGCTGATTTCAAAAATTGTCTAAGCTTAGAACAAATTTAATCTTGTGAACTCTTGGAATCCTTTTTTAAAAAATATTCAGAAGATTTTTCGCTTAATTTAAACCACATTTTCTCATACTGTGGAAGAAAATAACTTATGTATTAAATTGAGAGTTGAAAGCAGCGTAAAAAAAAGGTAAAAAAATAAATAAATTAAAATCTTAATCGATATCATCAAACAGAAATTTAGGTGCCATTATAGAATGTCAAGAACAGATAAGAAGAAATCGCGTACGTCGTTCAATAATCAAGACACGTTAACACGAATCTCGAACTTAATGCAAGCGATCCATTGATAACTCGTTTATCAATGGATTCAGTTTTATCCTTTGACTTTGGATAGATGATATATAATTATATATAATTTACTTGATGTTATCAGACATTTCTTGTATAAAACTCAATTCCTTTTTTTGTAATGTACTGTAGTACACATGCAAAAAAAATTCCATAGGTTACATATTATACTAGAGTCGATTAAATTAGTACTATTTTTATTTTTTTTAAATAAATATCGCATCAGGATATATGGAACGTTTGCTAATAAAATCACGTTATGGATCATTTGATTTACTATCAAACCTCCCATGTATATTTTATTTATTTATTTATCTTTCCATAAAATGATTACTAGTCAATGTACAGTTTTATTTTTGTGGGACTCCGCACGCTTCGAATAAAAAAGGGAAACTCACTATATATATAAAATCTAGTTTTTGATAATAATTATAATAATAGAATAAATGTTATGTATTACACTAATTATATTTCATGAACGACTAATTCAATATACTTATCATCCTTATCTTTGGGTATTTGTGTTGTCTCTTTTTGAATTAATTTATTATATTTGAATGATTACTTTCCTTATTCTTGCATTAAATATTTCTAGATTATAGATTATAAAGCAGAGATTTTGGTTTTGTCCTAAAAGTCGTCATAATTTAATTCTATATATCAAGAAGTTTTTTAGTAATTTCTTGTAGTTTAAATTTATGATCGCAGAATTACCACAAAAAATATGGAATCATGTTAATTAAGAATGCCGGTGTTAACCTGGAATATAGCCGAAACTAAGTCAACAGACACGACAATAAATCGGGTATTACACAATCATGTACAGTACGGTTAGCAACTTAAGTATTGTACGGTTTATTCTTGAACATATGTATGGTATGTAGGCTTTAAAAATATGTATGGTCTTTTCATAACAAGTAGTCCATACTTGTATGGTTTCTAATACTATACATATATGAAAAAAAACCATACCATACATACATTGCTAATCGTACTGTACAGGTTTGCTATATACCCCAATAAATCTATCTAATTGCCTTTCAGAAAGATTTATACAACAATTTATTATCACCATTCACTTGTGTAGTTTAATATCACGATCAAAACCTGTGTGAAGACACGAAGAAGTTTAAAGTTTAAATATGAAATTTATTATAGAGTTAATAAGTATAACCCAAGACTAATATCCAAATACTCTGTCGACAACCAATTCGAACTACAGGATTATATATATAAAAAATTTGCTCCAACTTTATACTTTGGAAATTTATCCACTTTAAACACGCCACAAAAAAAAAATTATTTACACTTTTACTATTTAGATAAGATAATAATATAATAATTAAACAAATAAAAGTAATATAGACGAATATAATAAACATAAAGACTACGCTAATATAATAGATAAAATAAATATAACTAGTAAAATAAAGATTTTCAATAAATTTGATGCATTTAACTTTAATATATCGATATTTTCAATATTTTTCCGTAGTACAATAGTCACGGGACACGGCAAATTTCGAAACGAAATCCATTAAAACTGAAAGGTTTCGACTTTGGATTAGGCTTTTGCTAATTTTAATGACTATTTGATGACGAAAATCATGAAAACATTCTGTTTTTTCGTGATACGTCTCCCACCCATATTGGAAAAATTATACAATCTCATTTTCACTTTTATTCCAAAAAATTTTAATAAAGAATAAAATTAAATGATTTGAAAGATTTGAAAGGAAAGGCTCATTTTTCAATGATGCTTATGGAATTATTTTTAGGAATAATATAAACCATGACTCAAAGTTCATAGAGTTTTACAAATAGACTCCCTTCTACATATCCCCTTAATTCCATTATTTCTATTATTGCCTTTACTTCGAAAACTGTATTTTCTATTCCGTCTTCTTCTACAGCCTTCACTTCTTCTGTTCCCATTTGCAGCTGTAGCTTTAGTCCTCCTTTGTGTTTGACATTTATCTAATTGACATATGTATGGATGCAAGAGAGAAAACTACCATAATAATTAAATTTTATTTTATAATGATTTTATTTTAGCAAAATAAGGCATAAATGTTAGAAAATTAAAATTAAAAATTTTTATTAAATTTACACGTAGAAAGATTGATCGATTTTTAGTAATTAAGAATGTGATGATTTTCAAATGTAATATGTTTAGATTTCTAATATATTTGTGTAAAATTCAATCAATTTAATATTTAAATTAAAATTTATCTTTATCATGTTAATACATTACAAATGATACTGCTTGCTTGATTATCTGACCCTTATCTTGAATTGTAAACCGATTCGGACTCATAACAATAGGTTTTATATCGTGCTTCTTTTCTTCTTTACGAAAATGTGATTTTAAATAACAGATTATGTTTATTAATAACTTATCTTATATTACTCATTTAATAATACAATTCTCTTTGATTGCTGTAGAGGACAAGTATTATAGTTGCGGGGCAAAACCCTAAACCCATTTTGGCAAAAGTCGAAACTTTTCAGAAATTGTTTCGACAGTTTCGATGGGTTTCGA